GTGTTATACTTTAAATTATTACTTTTTCATGATTTATTTCGATTGTTACTTGAATATTCAACACCTATGAAGCTCATTTGAGCACTAACCTGGCTAGCAGGACTCACGGGCCAAACCGTTGTCCATTTCTCGCAACAGCCGAAATCCTGTTGCTTGTTGGGTCATCAAGCCAGAAGCCAGCAAATTGGGCAACATGTTTGGAGGAAAGTGCCCAGTATGCTGCCACCTTTACTCACCTGAGATGCCCAAGACTACTGTACATACTCCTGCTCACCTGAGATGCCCAAAACTAATTCCTTGGACACCTGCTTTTATATCACAGACATTATAAGTACAAAGTGTAGCCAAAAACTACATATTTATAAGGTGAGTCTCAAAGGGTCATATATATACAAGCCACCAGGAGAATAACGGTCAACAAAATATGTGACATGAATAAAACAAATAGATAATATCGTAGGATTTAATGCAACAACATCGTTGTCATATGTATACAAAGTTGCTAGTTTCCATTACCGAGGTCCTGTTCACAAGACAAAATAACAGAGGTTTCTGTTTGAAAGAGGATAAGCAGCATTTAGATTTTCTCAACATACATGATTTACCTGATACCTGTCAGAAGTTGGAACCTGAACATTTATACATTGTACATATGTAGTACAAAATACATGTACAGTATTTACAAATTATTACCTCTGAATAACAAATTCACCCTAGTATGGATAAAGGGCCTTAATACCCTAAATTCTTCATGATGCTACTGTAATGTTTGTATAAATTACCACATTAGTTTGATTCGACTTTATAATCAGTTGAGTTTTCAATAAAATATAACCCTGATAAATCTGCTTACCTCGTGTCTCTAGGAGGCAAATGTGAACATCTTTGGTTTGCCAGCAGGATACTCTACTGATTTAAGCCTCATACACCTAGCATTTATTAGTCTAAACAAAAATTGTGGGGCCAGAGGTTTCCACAGTGTCTTTAAATGGAAATGATTAAAATCTTCGGAATATAAATACAGCAATATCCATTGTGTACTTCATCATTAAAGAAGTGCATAGGCAGAAGACTAAAAGAATTAGGGAAACTGATATACAGTTCTCTGGCCCATGGAATGATAATCAGTTATAGGTAAACAGGGATGCCCAATAAGCTGTTAAACTTCCTTGGAAAATTGGCATGTATTCACTCTGTAAACAGTATTGAAATTTACCAACTGAATATGAGAGGTTTTACAAATGTCAGTGATATAATGTACATAAGTGTCTAAATTTTAGTACAGTAATAAAATATTCCTTCAAATATCACAACCATACTATGACTTATCATATTAATAAAATCACTTGACATACAGACCAAATTCTATGCAGTTGCATGAAAGTTCTTCCAAAAGCAAAAACGTACTTAACAAGTCATTTGTTTTAAATAACATCATCTGACTATGCAAAAGTAAGACTCTTATTGTTTTCACAGTAGTCATTGTGAATTAGTTATAATTGCTTTCTTTAGCTTAACATTGGTGAGCAAGTGTGGTCATGTGAACCACTAGTACCAATAACATTTATTACAGCAAAACCCCTTCACGTGCAACTTGAACACCTTACCAGGGAATAGCTTAAATTCTGAGGGACTAAAAGCATTAAGTACTTTTAAATTAAAATTTTAATTTTGTATTGGGTGCCAGTCTGCTTAATTTATCAACTTCACTGAAGAACTTAAAAAACTTAAAAAGTTTACATTAAATTTACATAAAAAATGGAACATTTCAAGTTTTGTCGTTTTTTTTTAAGCAAGTTACTGATGAGAATGACTTGCAAGCAGACATAACCCCTGAACAATGCTTGATAATGCCTCATGCCTTGGAAAAATTGAGCAAAGTACCCTGTAAGGAGAAAGGTATGCACGACCTCACACAGTCGACAAACCCAGGCAAAGGTTGACGAAAGTATACTTGCGTTCCTTGGGTGGTGCAATCTACCCAGAGGGAAGAAGATAGAGTGCACACAGCCCTTGGGTATACTTGTGCTGCTAAAAGACAAACATGCTGCACATGATCTTCAACCAGATGTGTTCAGTGCCAGGCAGGTGAGGCACCCAAAGAAAAAGTGTGCCACAGGTCCCATTGCCGTGGTGCCACAGCAACAGTGTTAAGGAAGGTCTCTCACTGAAATGTTAAAAAACTACATAACAATTAAAATTATTTATAAAATGATCATGACTAGCAAAATTTAGATACCTTATACAGTAAAATGTAAAAATATGGGCAAAGCACACTCTTTCATTAACACAAGACATTTCTTTGATCATATGCCTTAACCACATTTAATTTACTAAATGGATTAGAAATGCAACATTATGGCAAATGGGATTATCATTGCTAAAAAATTTTTTTTACTGGAGCTCTATTTAATGAAGCTGGAAAATAATGATAATCAGATTCAGCATAGATATTCTTGATGTGAAACTGCTTACCAAAATCCCTTTTTAAAAGTGCATGGATACATATTACAAGCAGGAAATAAAAATATAAGACTAGATACCAGAAAATTCTTATGCAGTCGAGTTTTTTTAGCTGCCACTCAAAGTAAGCACTGTGTCTTAACCAACACCCTGAGAAAACTTTGTTACTAATTTTGAACAACTTTAGTTTCCACTTGGTCTGCTTTTCCTTTTGAAGTTGGGAAAATCAAGAAAAATATCTGCTTACCGGTTTCTCAAAAACTCACTCACTCATTAGATCAACTATTTGCACACCACACTACCAGATAATACCCCCCCCCCTCAATAAGTCACTAACAAGAATATTTAGATTTTGAGCAAAATATTAAAACTAAAGAAGAATGACAAGAATTTTTCTTTCCAAAATCACATATTCACAGGGAATTAATGTGTATAACTACAGTATATCCAGAAAAGCACAAAAACACCAAAAGTCAGCATCAAAATAATTACAGGTTGAAAAAGGAATTAAATTTGTCCAAGATTCAGTTGGACAAGTAATTACAAAAATTGCAACTTTTCAAAACAAATTTTGTGGTGAACAGGGGTACAAAATATTATTTTATATCAGTAATAATTTTTTCTTTAATGAGGTACAGTAGTACTAGTCATAAAATGGTGATGATATGACAAATGTGGATCAAGTATTTAACTTGCCAATAAGTAAACAATATCATTCACCCTTGATATAAAACCTCCTTTTCACAGAGTTCCTTCTTCATCATGAATACCATTGAACATACTGTAGCTTTCAACAATCTACACCAAAAACAGCATCATTATCAGGCAGAAGCAGCATCCATTACTCCTCTTCCAGTCATTTGTTTGCACCCCCCCCCCCAGCTGGGTGGGCTCATTGTGCTCACCGTGTTCCTCCACCCGCAACTTCTTTACACCCCTCCCCCTGTGATATTCCTAGATCTGCCCCTGAATTACCACAAATGAGGAATACTGTACATGATATACTGTACCCCAAGGCCTACCTATTTAACAGTGGCAAAATTAACAATATTGTATGCATCATGTTCGTCATAATGATATTAACAATGAAGAGTATTAGTACAGTTGGTTAAAGAAAGTGGTTAAGTGCATGTGTACCTTTGTGCCAGAGACAGGAAGCAAGGAACGAGAAGTTTACACCATCGCCCAGCCTGGATATTCTTGTGACCCTAGAAAGTCAAAAGAGCGGGTGTGGTTAGTCAGCAAGCAGCAGACTGTACATGTGGATAAAACTACTGTAATCATATTTACAATCACTGCATATCTAATGTAGGGAATCCAACAGCATGCATGTCTTGGGGAAAAATTACAGCTCTGATATCTAATTCATTACATAAATAGGCACCCTTCACAGTGATGTATGCAGGAAGTGTGTGTACATGCATATGCAGAATGACTGTGTAAACATGCAATTGTCTTGCATTTTTCATTATGCATTTTCTACCAGTAATTACCCAATTTGCACCGATCTCTATTACTCCTGTTTTCACCTCTTTTACCACCCGATGAATCATGCCATTATATACCTCTGATAAAGTCCTTCTATTGGGAATCAGTGTCCCTGTCTCTTAATGACATAAACACACATGGCAATTTTAATAGAATCTCTGGTTGGCAATTCAACAGCTTTCCATTTATTAACTACATTTTCAATACTTTCCACATAAATTTTTTATCACCTATCATAGACTCTTTTCCACATCCATTAAAGCCACACACAAATATTGATTAAATTTCACCTGAATATTTTCACTCAACACTCAGCATTAAAACACACTCAACCAATACCAAAGGTCGAGGTGACAGCTGAAGGTAAAGTTAAATTAAACATATGTTCTTCCTTTGACTTGAATGATACTGATAGAGGTGAACAATAAAGCAATTTCATAATTACAATACTATAGTCTTATTATCATCACCATCATCATCATCACAACAACAACATCATCATCATCATCATCACATTATCATCATCATTTAACAGCCATATTCCGTGTTTGTGTGGGTTAGCTGTGATTACCTGATGGCAACTGTTGGATAAAACCAGAACAGGATGCCCGCCACCCCAAACCCAAGGCACCAACCAAGAAAATGCAGCAGAAACCAGGGGATGGGTTCAGTTATGATGACCCAGTTGCCATCAAACATGTTGAAGTAAAGTTTTATGGCTGGAATCCCTTCCTAACACCAACCCACAGGGAGGCAAAACTGGCAAGCAGGGTCGCAACTCCCGAGGTAATCAAAGACTACCCGCCTACATGTATAAAATTATAATGCTACAATATGAGTCTGTGAAGTTGGAAATAGTATCAATAAAATGTAATTACTGTATCCTAAATTTTGACATAACAGCATAACAACAGTAAACACACACACAAGATAAAGAAACATGCACAGGAAAAAAAAAAAGCTCACTCAAAAAGTTTCAGCTTAGCAATACATATTGGTAAGCCAAGCAACGAGCAATAGGAATACTATACACAAAAGCTAATTAAAACACAGAGCTAGTTACAGTCTTATATACAGTATATGTATAATATTTTTTTTTTACATACCAATGATTTATTCTACATAATTTCCTGCTATATTAAGCACTGTTTGTCATACTGTTACGAATATAATCTTAAAATAAAATACACTAAAACACAATGCTATCTTCTTACCCTCCTTATATTAACTAATAATCAGGAACTATACTATTATATATTAGCATCCATGCACGAGACAATCATTTGTAATCCTCCATATGCCCATATAACAACAACGTTACATCCCTCTGCCAATATTCACAAGTATTTGCAGTATTTAAGGGAAGTACTGTACAGTAGATGTCCGGCTACCACTGAACTTAGGAACAAAAATAATTAGAATTTTATGCTACTATGTTTTACTTTAATATTAAGTTTAATTATGGCTCCTTCTGTTAAATATTTGAAGATACAAAACAGAGAAGACTCAGGAACACCTAATTAACTGAAAAAAAATCTTGTCCTTTACTATGCATGAAAGTATTTCCAATCAATACAGCATACCGACCCTCTTAACCCTCTAACTAACCATGTTCAGGGAGAACTGACACTTACTTACTGATAAAATCCCATTTCCTTTAAAGTGTATATAGTGGGGATTGCATCACACACACACATAAACCAGCAATTATTAATCATTATCTAATCAACATCATTTCTTGAAAACTATGAATTCCACTCAAAATGGCTGCTGTTTACCATCTGATAGTGAATACTGTAAAATATATCTACTAATCTAAAACTAACAAAGCAAAATAAAAGAAAACTTGGGATACTGAAGGTGTGAAAGGAAGATCACTGGGCATGTTGAACCCAATAAAAACATGGAAAATTTCAAATTCATTGACTCAAGATTTGAGGGAGTGACCAGAAATGGGAAAGACTAAAATACTCCTGTGATAAATGTGCCTGAATAGAGTAAATAAATGCATCCCAGCAATGTACAAATGAACTATCAAAATTATTCAACACATTGCAATGAATTTTATGTGAGAAAAAGGATGCTAGATGACACATTAGCTCTGTGATTTGGTTACTGCCTGACTGGGCACCTTTTGTTAAAATCAAGAAGCTGCATCACAAGCATATAAAAATCATTACAGTGTCAATCTGCCAGGTTTTCTTGCCATGTATTTAGCGCAGCCTTTCATTTACAGTTAGAGACAAAGTTCCCTGGACATTTGGCAGTACAGTATATGACATGTCTCTACTAGAGGGTCATTACATATGAGGAATTGAATTTTAAATTGTTTTCTCAGGTTTTTCTTTCCGTTTTTTTTTCCATTTTGTGGTTCTGACACAAAATGTGATGAAAAGCAGCATTATTAGATACAATTATGATCCAAAAGTAGATGCCAGATATTGCCAAGCATTCAGGTAATTTTGTCTCCAACTGTACATAAGCATAAAAAAAAACACAGAGTTTGTAAGTTTCTCTCAAACATTAGCTGTAAGTGGAAATCTATCTAATACAAAAATCCCATTACTAACAAGATCAATAGTAATAATACAGTATACTGGAGATACTAAATACAGAATTCTACACAACCGGTATTTGCTCAGAAAACTATAATTTTATTTACCTTCTCTGTCCCAAACTGTTTCACTAAAATGCACAAACTGTACATGCAAACACCTATATTTCATGTTAAGGGAAATGGTGTTACATATAAAACTGATACAAGTGTGAGCAGTGTATCACATGTACTGTACACCAAAAGGTAAAGAATTTGAGGTAGGAAAGATAATTTTCTTCCTTACATAAATAGCTTTGGTCATGATTTCCACCTTAGTCGGTCCTCACACCTAGCTAATTCTAGCTATCTCCTTGCAAACAACTGAGTGTGCAAAGAATGTGAACACACAAGAATAAGTCAATGTACTGCATTTTCAAACTAAATAATTTTCTTGGACTTATCATAACCTTTTAATATCCAGATAATATTTAGATTGTATTATCTTCCTGATCTAGAAAGTACAATTTATGTATCACAGCTGAGTCACCCACAGTTTGATACAAACTTGCTTCATTTTTCAATAAAGATTCTAAACCCATTGAGTTATTTAAAACACTGGCAAAGTATATGGCACAATCAATGTGATTTTTCACATTTGTTTTTGTAACCTCTGACACTGGCAGCCAAGTTAAGATGTGGAATGGAATGGACTGGTTCAAAGAAACAACAAAGTATATTACTGGTGTAATACAACCATTTTGTTTAATTTTCTGACAGACAACTAGAGCTGGTGTCACAGGCAAGCTTTGGACTGAGTTTGTTCTCGAGGGCAGACTAAGATATATATCATGAATTAAGTTAATACACAGGAGAAAAGTTAAAAGGGTTATTATATCTATAAAGAAAACCCTAATATATTTACATATATACTGTATATAAATCTAATCCTAGGTTCTGTAACATGACTGCTGATATGCTGGTCCAGGTGATTTTTGTCTCCTACCATGGATTGTAGCACTACTGGCCCTACTGCTAAATGGGGATATTCTGATGATGACTGTTGGCAAACTCAGCCACTGGCTAATATCTCTTGTACATTGAATGGTTAAGTAGAACTATTAATTACTATCAGGAAAAGCCATACTTTATACAGTTTAATCTTCAACGTTGTCAATAATAAAGAATCTTTATCTGTGGTAGTTTCCCCAAAAACAACTCATCCTTTTACCTTGCAGTACTGTACCCTCAAGGTTGTTGAACAAAAATAATGATCACTTGGGTCACAATTACCATCAACCCCTAAAATCATCTACCTGTACTGAGTTTAAGATACGGTTGTATTTGAAATCATTACACAAACTCAAGAATAATGTTTCTTGTAATCAAGCTAAATAAATTTTTATTTGAAATGTACATCATTTTTTGGCAAGTTTAGCCACTGATAAGTTTAACAACATAATAAAAATGATGTATTATATGGCTATATCATCCCAATAGCATCATGACACACTATATGGAACAAAGTATGCAGTACAATGCCCCTGCTGTATAGGTCTTGGAACCATAAATGAACGCTTATTTCCATACAAATAATTTACAAAAAATGTTGAGATTATTCAGGATAAAATAATGGAGATAAAGTTAACAGAGTTGTCGTTAATGAGAAATGGTAGGCAATCCATCTTCATACACCTCAGTACTGTCCCTTATATAAAAACTGCAATGACTATTACCATCTGGTAAATCATACACAATCCCCAATACACTTGAGCTACTACGTAATAAGTTTCTTTACTAGGTTTTATTATCCTTGTGAAATTTAAAAATTTATTTTATAAAGGGGTACCTGTACATTAAGTACTAAGTTTAAATGTACTCTAAGTGATTTAAATAAATTTTCTTCAACAATTTTAAGAGTAAGTTAAAGTTAATACTGTATATCTCCACAGAAAAAATGGTTACTAATAACTTGGTTAAGTAAATACAACAGAATATCCCCAGTGTGTTGACAAGGGAAAAAGCAGAATGGCGCCACCCCAGGCATGCAGCTCTGGCTTACGTGGAGATTGGAAGTTTTGGTGCCTAACTTGGATATGAATATCTTGCATATCTCCTGAGAAATGAAAGTAGAATAAATAAAACCTTCTGACAGAGGACAGTATAGAAGTAGCCTTAAGCAATAGCAAATTATGAACAAGGATTTGAATTACAGTATTACCCCGCTTAACGCGCTTTCACTTAACGCGTTTTCGCATATACGCGGTGCCTTGCCAAAGCTGAACTTTCACTTAACGCGGATTTTTCCACAGCAACGCGGTGAGTGTCCGGCTCGGATGCTATTTTTAGATTTTGACCACGCGCCACCCGCCCGCCCGCCCTCCTGCCTGCCTGCCTGCCTCTCCCTCCTCCTCCCTCCGCTTGGGCAAGCGGAGCGGTAAGGTTGCGCAGTGTGTGTCTTTGTTGCGTTATCACTGACGTCATATGACGTCTCGGACTGTGATTGGCCATGCAGCCCTACCCCCCTCTGCTGCTAGCTGTAATTGGCTTAAAGTATTATGACGTGACTACCCCGGGGAGGGAGGGAGGGAGGAGAGACGACGCTTGACCTAGCCGCGGCAGTTTCATCCCTCAAGGCCACGCCGTGTTAACGCGCATCCATTGTTCCGTAAAATGGCTTCCGCCGGACCACCACCCCCAGAGAGAAACCTTTCCTTACCTGGACCCAGCGGCACTAAACCAAAGAAGACACGACGTTCATTAAGCTACGAGCTGAAGTACCAAATTGTTCAAGATTTGGAGAAAGGAAGACGCCAAGTTGATCTCGCGCGCCAGCATGGCGTCAACGAATCTACGATTCGTACGATCAAGAAGGATGCAGCCAAGATAAAGGAGCACATGAAGCTCACAAAGTCTGCAGGTGCTTCAGCTATCAGGTATTGCCAGAACAGGGTGCTGGCAAAAGTGGAAACTTTGCTGGTGAGTTATTTGGTGCGTCAGGCGCGACGCAACATGGCGGTGGACACGCGCTCAGTGCAGGAGTACGCACGTGAGCTATACGCAGCAGTGACACGTAAACTGGGAATTGCAGAGCCCAAACCCTTCAATGCTTCCCATGGTTGGCTGCATAGGTTTAAGAGGAGGAACAAGGTCACCAACATCAGCATTGTTGGTGAGGAAGCGAGTGCTGACCGTGCGGCGGCTAGAGATTTTCCTCCGTTTTTACGTGAGATTATGGAGGAAGGACAGTACACTGACGACCAGGTGTTTAACATGGACGAATCTGGTCTTTTCTGGAAAAAGTTACCTTCCAAGACCTTCGTTGTCCAGTCTGCGAGCAAGGTAAGGGGCCGGAAGATGCAGAAGGAACGCATCACCGTCCTGTTTACCACCAATGCCTCCGGTACCTGTAAACCAAAGTTATCGGTGATTCACAAAGCCCGCAAGCCGCACGCCTACAAGAATATGGACATGAACAAGCTTAATGTCCACTGGCTAACCGCACGTAAGGCGTGGATGTCCTCTTCTCTGTCCCTCTTCTGGTTTGACAACTTTTTGTTCCTGACGTGCAGAAATTCTGCGAGCAACAGAATGTTCCATTCAACATTTTGTTGCTCCTTGACAACGCACCTGGACACTCGCCCCTACTAATGGATCGTCACCCCAACGTAAAAGTGGTCTTCCTTCCTCCCAACACCACGTCATTAATCCAGCCTATGGACCAGGAGTTAATCTGCAACGTTAAAGCTGCATACTCGGCAAAGAAATTCAAGCTCCTGAACGACTCTACCAACACCAAGGATGAGTTGCGTAAGCTGGGTGACACCGACAGCGAGAGTAAAAGCGACGAGGACAAGGAACAAGAGGCGGCGACTCAAGAAGTTCTCGTCAAACAATTTTGGAAGAAGTTTAACGTCAAACAAGCTGTAGACTTCTTGGTGGAGGCATGGGATCTGCTGTCTACTGCTACGATTCGTCACGCATGGAGACATGTGTTGCATGGCATACCAGGTGAGAGGAGGAGTCAATCTGTTACTGGTCAGGTTCAGACTGTTGCAGTAGCAGTGGACCTTGCCAGAGAAGCTGCGCAGACTGTTACAGCTGAAGGCTTCTCCGAGACCACCAACGAAGACATCATGGAGGTGATCAGAGATCCTGAAGTGACTGCCGACGAGATGTTGGAAGAAGAACCCGCCAGTGAAGAGGAGGAAGAAGGTGCGTCATTCTCCGAAGAACCTAGTTTAAGTCATAGTGATATTAAGTGTGTCATAGAGTTAACAGAAAAAATTAAGTCCATCGTTTCCCGCGACACTGACGATGAACGCCATGACGTCTTCCATAACCGACTGGTGCAGGCTATGGAGCCGTACATCAAGGTGTATCACGACAACATCAAAGCCAGCCGTCAGCAAAGCATAACCGAGTTCTTCGCCCGCAACCCACCACAGCCAGCCCAAGGCAGTGATAGTGATAGTGAAGGTGATTTTGAGGGATTTGTCAGGGAAGCCATGACAACTGTAAGTGACAGTGATATTGATTCACCTAGTAATGGTGATTCACCTAGTAATGGTGATTCACCTGAGGGGCAGTAATCTGCCCTCTGCCTCGGAACCAGCCTCCATCCCCGTATGCCGACCCATCTCTTCTACTACCGTGAGTGTTCCTTAAAACTTTTCGTTTTTTAACCTATTCTTTATTTTTCCTATGTTAACCTTTATCTTTCCTAACCTAACCTCTTCTATATTACTTGTTTTTCATGCCACCATAAAGTTAAGATAGAATTTTTACTACAACATAGTTATTTGTCGTCAAAAAGTGGAGTTTGGGGGTCGGGCTGGGTTCTATTGGAATTAATCCCATATGTTCTGTTATTCACTTAACGCGGTTTTCACTTAACGCGGGACCCTCTGGGTTCAATTGACCGCGTTAAGTGGGGTACAACTGTATATCTTTATACATACTCATTATGATATAAATAATATAATCATCTATTCTTTAATATCATCATAAAGAATTCCCTCATTCAGCATCAATATCAGGTATGGAACCGTTTATCCAGTGTCCCAGTACGCAGAATGCTCCAAAAACCGGCAATGTTCTGGAATAAATTACAGTATTTAAAACAAGCACCAAGTAAATCCTGTGTCAAGTGAGGATTAAGTTTTACGTATCTATGGGTCTCCACCATGAAGATATGTGGCAAGAATGTGTGTGTGTGGAGAGGCCGGAAGGTCCGAGGCGTGGAGCAACGTTGCTAAGGACGCTGCTGCATTGCTAAAGCAGTTTGTACTCTAACTTGCATAATTTTTGCTCTTTTTATGCTTTCATTATTGTTATTTAGATGCTTTTGTTATTGACGTATACTGTATATGCCTTCAATTTTAAGTTTTGATCCAGTTAAAGTTAATACGGTTAAATCTACTCTTGGGGCAACACTAGTTATCTGAACACAGTCTTAACAGCAATTCACAGAGGGTTTACTGTACATTTTAGACCTGGTGCTCTAAATTCCAGAAAATATCTACACAGCAACCCCAAGGTCCCAAGCATGCCGGATATATGGTCCCATACCTGTACTTCACGGTAATAAACCATGCTCATGTAATAGTAAACATTAAATTCTATCTCAAATAGTGAAAATTATGGTCTCATGAAAGGATATATATATATTAAAAACACTCAATTTTGTGTAATGCAATGGTTTCAGTCTGTTAATATTACCAGATTCACTTAATACAAGTCAAGAAGAATAAAGAGTACAGTACCTATCTCCTCATACATACTGAATTCCTTCACTCCCATCTCAAATGAAGTCAAGATTCTTACAGCCCATTCAAAATCTATTTCTATAATGCATTCTCCTACAGTGAGGTGAATATACAGTATATCTCTAAAAAAAAGTTAATTTCCTATTCAAGCAAAACCTAATATCTACACTCTTTTTTGTTATATACACTGTACATGAAAATATATTAAGAAATGTTCACATATTCTTTATCATATACCTGTACAGACAACCATAATATTATAGGCAGTCCTTGTCTTGTACTTTCATAACATTAGTAAGTTCTGTAAAACTTCCTGACTTTCCAAGCATGAAAAATACTCTTATAAAATGTTATGATTTACTAGATTACCCAAGGTGTAGTACAAACCTTCTGCAATAAGGAGGCTGCAGTTAAACCTCCACTTCACAATACCTGCATATTTCTATATATAATTCCATTTTGATTTCCTATCACAAAACAACACAAGTTATCCCATACTCTCACTGCACCTCATCTTAAGCATTATGTGGCCCTAATCACCTCATTCAGTAAACAATTCTTTTACAATTACAGTAACTCCCACCACATTCACTGTACAAATAACTGTAACAACTAATTATGCCATCTTGTACGTTATCAACCCCCTTCCCCAATTTTTCTCACACCTTTCTCTATCTTGACTACAATTTCACTTCTTAAAATATACATTCATAAAGTTATTCATTTGCAGTATAATGAAATAAATCTTGACATTATAACATTTGCCCATACTGTATCAATTTTTATCTATGAATTTGAGAAATGAGTCAATATTAAAGACCTAACACCAATGATACTGTCCTACAATGTCTCGATTCATAAATTTAGTTTTATTGAATTTAGCAATAATTATATAATCATTACAGGGTTCACTCTTCTACTTGTTTTATAAATGAGTGAAGATGATACAGTATCCACAAAAAATATTAATACCATTTAAGTAACCAAAGGTGTCTTTTTATGCTCGGATTTCTATGCACACAATTCCCACACGGTCATGTATTCAGCTGTAACCTAGAGTAGTTGTATCAGTGTCTGTTGAAATGTGATGATGGGAAAAAATAAAAAATAAATAAAATAAATTATGCACCCACCCACAAAGAGCCATACTACCCAGTAGCTCAATTTTTATCTCTCAGAACAGTCACCGTGGGTCCCAAGAACATGTCAGGGAGGGAGCCGGGCGAGGCGAGCTGAGACAAGGTGAGTGGGGCGGGCCCAGCGAGGCCGGTGAGAATCAGGAGGAGGGAGGAGGAGGAGGAGGAGGAAGGGAGGAGGGAGCCAGCCGGATCTGGGTAAGGCTGAGGCAAGGGAGGGGCAGGCGGGGAGGCGGAGGTGGGGGCAGGCGAGGCGGGTGGAGTGAGAGGGCAGGCCGAGGCGAGGTGGGGGAGTGGGGGCAGACGAGTGAGGCAGGGGCGGGCCGGGAGGCGGGAGCAGGGGCGGGCGGGCGGGGCAAGGGAGCCGGGCAGGCAGGGGAGGCCCGGGCGGGCGGGAATGGGGAACCGAGGCGGGAGACAGGGAGCCGGGCCGGGCGGGGCAGGGAGCCGGGCCGGGCGGGGCGGGGCAGGGAGCCGGGCCGGGCGGGGCAGGGAGCCGGGCGGGGCGGGGCTAGGCTAGGCTAGGCTAGAGGGCGAGACGTTTCAGAATACAGTATATATTAAATCCCGTAACATTAAGGTTCCTGGTAATTTTTTTAAGTGGACAACCATGGATTTTACAATCGGAAAAACCCATTGGTCAACAACCAAAAAGCACCATAACTAACCTAACAACGTAACGTAACGTAACCTGGAGGTTCCTTGGTTGTCTCCTGGTGTAAAAAGGTCCATTTGTATGTGCACACAACAATTAGAAAGTAAAACAAAATAATATTAGCGTATTTGTGTTTAGATCGGTTATGACCTCCATTTCCGTCGGAAATTGGTCGTTTTTTATAGATTTTTTTTGGCGAGGCGTTTCCCGAAAAAAATATTGGCTCAGCGAATGAAAAATGCAAAAAAACAAACAAACACTATAAAAACATAAACCGGACCTAATCTAACCGACTCACCATATGTTGGAATCCCTTATTTCTTACCTTATTGGCCTGGTTCTCGTTGGAGTTACCACATGTGTTGGTCTTGACGACACTTACATTCGTTCTTGCATTAATGACACTTTACGGAGGTCGGGAGAACACCATGAGATCTAAAAATGCTATAGTTTTAGTGTGGAGGTAATGGTTTATGTAAACAGTTGGGGACAGTAAGTACACGTGGTGTAGTGGTAGATGGAAGCTGCAAGTTTAATTTTCATTCTACGTAAATTACAACTTTAAGCATGTTGCAGGTGACAGCTGGTGTACTTGAAGGCCAATGGAGAAGTGACAGAACCTTGAGCAAGACTTAACACCCAGCATGTTACTTCAGCCTCATCAGTTAAGTTACTTATATATTATCTTAGCTATTATGGTCAGCCCATAAACCACTCAACACTGTGCTCCTACACTGGGCAGTGGAGGGTGTGTGTGTGGGACCTGGCTGACTGTGAATGTTGGAGGGCTCTGGAGGACTGTGTGTGTGTGTGTTGGAGGGCTCTGGAGAACTGTGTGTGTTGTAGAGCTCTGGAGAAGTGTGTGTGTGTGTGTGTGTGTGTGTGTGTGTTGGAGGACTGTGTGTGTGTGTGTTGGAGTGCCTGGCAGTGTGTGTTGCAGAGCCTGGAGAACTGTGTGTGTGTGTGTGTTGGAGGCCCCTGGAGAACTGTGTGTGTGTGTGTGTGTGAGACTGACTGTGTGTGTGTGTTGGAGGCTCTGGGAGAACTGTGTGTGTGTGACTGACTGTGTGTGTGTGTTGGAGGCCCTGGGAGAAACGTGTGTGTGCACTGACTGCGTGTTGAGGAATGGAGAACCGTGTGTGTGTGTGTAAGGAGGGTTTGGGAGAATCAAAGCGGTGTGACTGGACCGTGTGTGTGTTGGATATCGAGAACTGTGTGTGTGTGTGTGTGTGTGTGTGTGTGTGACTGACTGTGTGTGTGTGTTGGAGGCCTGGAGAACTGTGTGTGACTGACTGTGTGTGTGTGTTGGAGGACTGTGTGTGTGTGTGTGTGTGTGTTTTGGGAGGACTGTGTGTGTGTGTTGGAGGACTGTGTGTGTGTGTGTGCTGGAGGACTGTGTGTGTGTGTGTGTGTGTGTGTTGGAGGACTGTGTGTGTGTGTGTGTGTGTTGGAGGACTGTGTGTGTGTGTGTGTGTGTGTGTGTGTGTTGAGACTGTGTGTGTGTAAAAAGGAGACTGTGTGTGTGTGTGTGTGTGTGTGTGTTGAGGACTGTGTGTGTGTGTGTGTGTGTTTGTGTTGGAGGGCTCGGTATTATTGCAGTTTCGGCCAGTACACGCCTGACTTTTAACCATCCCCAACCTTTAGATCTCCTTATTGGAGTATTTCCAACACCATTTTAACCAGGGAGCAAAGAATGTCAGAAAGGAGTTTTAAAGATTTCCATGGTTTTTTTTTGGGAGGGGGGGGGGATATAATTCTAAAGAGGGTGCTTCCCCTGGAAATAAAGGCCACATTTCATTGAATCGACCCAAAATACACAGGATAAACGAATTTCTAAACTACGAGGGCATATTCGATGAAACTGCAATTTTACAATGGGCTCTGGAGAGCTGTGTGGACTGTCTAGATAAACTGAGCTGGGAGTCAAATTAAGATTAGCTGTAGAGATTTGGGAAAGCTTAATAAAGTGCTATAAAAATGTACAGGACTAAATGCCAATTAGTTACAGTATTAGTGAGCATTAGTAGTAGTAAAGTGATTAATAGTAAGTAAAGCTGGTTGTTAGTAGGTGGGTTTTAACTAACAAATTAACTAACCTAATCAGCCTAACATAGATTAAATGTAACTAATCTAGACTAACCCAAATTAATATTAAGTTACCTATTATATAGTTTATATATTGGATAACAAATATATTAAAGAATGTTACTTAAAATTTGCCACAAGTTAACTGTTCATGAATTCAGAAAGTTAAGCTAGAAAAAATTTCACTTGTTTAAATTATTAAAAATCAATAGCTGCAGTTTCCTTTTCAAAATCTAATCATGTACTGTACTGACTTTCTCCTCAGGTTAAGCTGGCCAGAAGTAACATCATACTGAACCTAAGGAGAAATAACTTAAAATGCCAGAACAGGTAAAGTCAACTTACGGAGTTTTATTTAGGCAAGGGAAGCTTGTGGGACTTGTGAAATCATTAAACATTGTGTGGGTGTGGCTTGTTGTAATTAGGGTGGGGGGACAATATGGCTTGTGTGTTGGCATATGGGGTGAGCAGGTGTGTTGGTAAAGTTTTTCATTCAAGCTAAATGTGACCAAGTTGTCAAGGGGAATACCTAAGGGGGCTTGAGGGGTGGGAGGAAGGGAGGGAGGATTCAGTAAGTGAACAGTGGTAAACTGTTGTGTATGAAGCAGTGTGGAGAGATTTAGTAGTGTAGCAGTATTGGTGATGAAGGCTTGTTATGATTGGCTATACTATTGTTGTGGTAAATGTTAGTTGTTGAGGTATCAAGAAAACTAAAACACTAATGCAACTTAAAATAAGATCTTTTGTAGATAAGGTATTTAAATAAACAATTAGGGACAGTATAAGTACATGTAGTCTGGTGGTAGATGGAAATTGTATGTTTAATCTTCAGTGTACATAAATTACAACTTTAAACATGTTGCAGGTGACAGCTGACGTACGTGAATGCCAATGTAGAGGAAGTGACCGACACCTTGAGCAAGATGTAACACCCAGCATGTTACTTAAGCCTTCTTAGGTAAATTACTTGTGTATCTTAGTATGGCCATCCCCAAAAACTACTGGAAGTAAGACTCAAGAGGAGGGACTTACTTTGTGTGAAGGGTTGGAAAGGAGGAGCATTGGGCGGTGGAGGGGCGCTCGTACAGTGGAGGGGCGCTCGTACAGTGGAGGGGCGCTCGTACAATGGGGGGGGGCGCCTCGTACAGTGGGGGTGGGGGCCTCGTATAGTGGAAGGGAGCTCGTACAGTGGGGGCGCTCATGCATGCATGGATGGTGGTGTGCTCAAGCAATGGTGAATGGTGTGCATGTTAAAAATGTGATGCAAAAAATAGCATGTACTATGAAGGCATGTGGGGGATGATGCCTAGATGAAGACTGCTGCAGCCAAAAGTGAGAAGGACAATGCTCCTGTGTAAGGTGATATAGGAGGGTGTTTGAGTGTACGGATATATCACATATATATATAAGAATGCAAGTTTAGATTCCAAGAAATTCTGGAGTAAATGTTGTGTATTGGTATTAATACATTAAGGCTAATTAAGATTGATCTAAATCCAAACCATGTTGCAGGTGGTTGGTGTACAAGATAGATGGACCAGACACAACAAGGTGACCACGACTGTCTAGCATCCCACACCTTGAGGACTACCACCTTACTAAGAAAGAACAGAATTGGTGTTCTGTACACTACTGTTAAGAATAGTGTACTGTAATGTAAAAGTTAAGTATTACTGAAACCTTTTTTATATAATTTAGCAAAACTTGATGTATTACTTAAAATAGTGCATTTAAGAACATACAGTACAAGTTAACCTCAATATTGTGTATTGGTAGTGATATAAAATAGCTTAATTAATTCAGATGTAGAGTATCTAAAAACAAATATAATCATGTTGCAGGTGGTTGGTGTACAAGATAGATGGACCAGACACAACAAGGTGACCACGACTGTCTAGCATCCCACACCTTGATGACTACCACCTTACTAAGAAAGAACAGAATTGGTGTTCTGTACACTACTGTTAAGAATAGTACTGTAATGTAAAAGTTAAGTATTACTGAAACCTTTTTTATATAATTTAGCAAAACTTGATATATTACTTAAAATAGTGCATTTAAGAACATACAGTACAAGTTAACCTCAATATTGTGTATTGGTTGTGATATAAAATAGCTTAATTAATTCAGATGTAGAGTATCTAAAAACAAATATAATCATGTTGCAGGTGGTTGGTGTACAAGATAGATGGACCAGACACAACAAGGTGACCACTACTGTCTAGCATCCCACACCTTGAGGACTACCACCTTACTAAGAAAGAACAGAATTGGTGTTCTGTACACTATTGTAAGAATAGTGTACTGCAATGTAAAAGTTAAGTATTACTGAAACCTTTTTTAAATAACTTAGCAAAACTTGATATATTACTTAAAATAGTGCATTTAAGAACATACAGTACAAGTTAACCTCAATATTGTGTATTGGTTGTGATATAAAATAGCTTAATTAATTCAGATGTAGAGTATCTAAAAACAAATATAATCATGTTGCAGGTGGTTGGTGTACAAGATAGATGGACCAGACACAACAAGGTGACCATGACTGTCTAGCATCCCACACCTTGAGGACTACCACCTTACTAAGAAAGAACAGAATTGGTGTTCTGTACACTACTGTTAAGAATAGTGTACTGCAATGTAAAAGTTAAGTATTACTGAAACCTTTTTTATATAATTTAGCAAAACTTGATATATTACTTAAAATAGTGCATTTAAGAACATACAGTACAAGTTAACCTCAATATTGTGTATTGGTTGTGATATAAAATAGCTTAATTAATTCAGATGTAGAGTATCTAAAAACAAATATAATCATGTTGCAGGTGGTTGGTGTACAAGATAGATGGACCAGACACAACAAGGTGACCACGACTGTCTAGCATCCCACACCTTGAGGACTACCACCTTACTAAGAAAGAACAGACTTGGTGTTCTGTACACTACTCTAAGAATAGTGTACTGTGAAAGTTAAGTATTACGGAAATATTTTTGTTATAATTTAGCAAAACTTGAGAAAATACTTAAAGTACTGTACTAATGCATTCAAGACTGTAGGAGTGAACCTTGATTAAAGCCACACAAAGTATTAAAAATAGCAAGATACATTATGTACAGTAGCATTATTAACTACAGTGGTAGTCACAGTTTTGTTGTGGTTGCAAAAAATTTCCATTTTATAATACTGTATATTTTTCGTCCACAGGTGAAGTATCAGCAAGGTGTACAACGAGATACACGGACATCAATCAAACGGATTGTGAGAGGTTTGAATATCTCGCACGGATCCATTTCTCTTAGTGGTTTGTAAAATTAAGTGTAATATGTAATTGTTGTTCAGTGTGGGAAGGCCTCTGGTGGCTTGTTGAGGGATGGTGTTTGTACCGGGGGAGGCGTTTGTACCAGGGGGAGGCGTTTGTACCGGGGGAGGCGTTTGTACCGGGGGAGGCGTTTGTACCGGGGGAGGCGTTTGTAGTGGTAGAGGCACTTGCACTGGTAAAGGCACTTGCACTGGTAAAGGCACTTGCACTAGGAGGTGTTTGTAATGGTTTGTACTCCTACAATGTCTGTGTATAACAATAAATAAATAAATAAATATTGAATAAACTTTACATTTCATATTCCGAAGTTGAATGATAATGATCTAAATAAACCACAAGTACAGTAGAACTGTAAACTATACCTGAAACATGAACTAAAGTGATCAACTTGGATACACCCACATGATGGCTTCTGGGTATCTTAGAACATGATATATACATTAATTACATAATTATCACCAATTGACATCAAAGTGCCATTCATTGTACGTACAACTGTTACAAACTAATGCCCATGTGATGCCCTATTGGGTACATGTAATCAAAACTACTAGATACCCACAGATAGCACAAATAATGCATTTAAGTCACAGACGCCTTGGACAAAGGATTTTGACAACCTTACCCAGAGAACGGACGTCTCGTGTTCATTTTGAAATTCATCGGCCATGACCGTAAGGAACATTTTTGATTGCATACATACTATTAATTTGAAAGTATTGTATATATACAGTAAATGAAAGTAAAGTACAGTAAGAATTTTACTTACTAAATGTTGACAATCTGGACACTGCACACCAATTGCTGAATGGAAGTGTTTTACCTGAAAATAGAGAAGAAAAAATCTTGTAAAATTGTAATAAACAACTTATGAACCCCCCTCCCCCCACCCCGCCCCCTAAAGACTTGGTAACTTGGATAAATTTAGAAATATATCTGTACTGTGCCTGGCCAAAATTATTCACAAAGTACAAGACTTCCATTATTATCTGAAGCTAAATTTTGTGTAGGACCAAAACCTGACAAGATACTTTATAAAACCTTAAGGTCTAGTGAAATAAACTCACCTTATGTGGAGTCTGCAATATAAAGGTTGAATTGGGAAATCCACAACCGCTGGTAATGTGACGGCCTCACCATCACTGATGTATCTGCCGAGAAATAATAATGGTAGTGGTACTGTAATGTGATTTAGCTGGAGAAAGATATCTAGTGGTGTTGCCAATCATTACAAGTTTTCTGATTGTCTTCTGTGCTAATATAGGTTTAAGAACATAAGATTGCAGGAATGGCCAGTAAATTGATATATACTGTACCTAGACAGTGCAGGTATAAAACCAGGCTATATGACCAAGGATATTTTGTATTTCTGTATCAGCTTCTGGACTGTTATTGTATATTGCAATAAATGTGTAGTGTATACATATGAAAATAAAAAATATACTGTATATTCAATTCTTTATTTCGTATTACCTATCTACAAAGATGTAAAAACATAGTACATATGTAATTTTTTTCTGTTTCTGACAGAACATATTACCTTTTTCAGAACAATTTATAATGTAAGTTTGTTAGGTGGCGATGGTAGATACAACACTGCAGTAGCCCTCCTCCTTTATCCGGGCTTGGGACCGGCATGTTCGACTGAACAAGGCGGAGTTACTACTGTGCATTCTACGTCTAACTACGGTGCTGTTAGTGCTATCAACTATAACTTGAAAAACTTTACCTTTATTACCTGCAAGAAGTACCTTGTAGTAGGTCCAGTCAGCCACACAAACAAACCTGGAATACAAAAAACTTTAAAACATAATATTCATAAATACTTGCATATAGACATTATATATTGTCATAAGTACTTTACCTGTTTGGAGGAGTTCTCGACCAGCCACACGTTCACTTCAGTCAGACGTTCACCTCGGAGGCGCACAATCTGAAAGAAATAAGAAAACCTTAGTCCCATCCACACACATTAAAGGTGGGAGGTTGGGTGTGTGAGAGAGGGTGAGTGTATGGATGGGAGTGAGGGTGTGTGTATGGGAGGACCTCCCCCACACACACCCTCACTCCCATCCATACACTCACCCTCTCTCACACCTTTCCTTATGCCCAACACTCCCTCCCAAACACCCCCACCCACCCACCAACCCTCCCTCCCAAACACCCCCACCAACCCTCCCTCCCTCCCACCCAACCCCCCTCCTACACCACCTCCCCTCCAACCCAACTCACATACCTACCCATCCCAACTCCCTTCCCATCCACCCAACCTTTTGGGTGTGTGGATGGGAGGTAGTGTTTGTGGATGGGAGGATGTGGATGGGAGGAAGAGGATGTGCATGGGAGGAAGAGGGTGTGGATGGGAGGAAGAGGGAGTGGTTAGGAGGAAGTGTGTGTGGTTGGGAAGAAGGGTGTGGTGTGCCATGCCCCCCTCCATGCAAACACAGCATCGAAAAATATTGTGAAGAAAATTGGTTTGTATTGGTGTAATATTGTGTTGTGAGGACTCATTTGTGTTTTAGTATGAATGATAAGTGTGCAGGGATTATGGTGGTGTGAGAGAGAGAGAGCCTTATAATAGTTGTGAGAGACTTGCTGTGTGTTGGTCTGCTGGCAGGAGCAACAGGATAGGCACGGCTTATAGCACTATTTTACCCTCACTTATATATCATATTATTGTATGCCAATAATTATTATTCAATATATTTAGCAATGGTTTTACTGTATCAATTTGACTAACAAATTATAAATATAATATAATATCTTGAAGGTTCTAAGGTTCTTGTGGCCCCAGAATATACTACATATTATTTTATTGATAACTTTAAACTATTGTAACACAGTAGAGATAGGAACACGTAAAGGAAGATAGAACATGATTAAATTATAAATCTATTAACCACCACCTCAACGTTTAACAGTTATGATACAGTTTAGGTATAGACTAAAAATTTTTTATCTAACCTAACCCAATTCAACCTACATCATTATATGTCCATAAGAGAAGTGGGACATCTTGGAGTATCACAAGGGAGATAATGAT